ATCAGTTAGATGATGCATTTTCAATCTAAAATTTCTTGTGTATGCTGTGCGGTGCAATTAGATATGTTTGTTACAACGTGAGGTCAAAAAAGACTATTTTATTTTTGTTAATTGAATGAGGTTTACTCAATTTTTTCATTATCCTATGTTGTCTTACTGTAGAAATGCGCTTTTAATTAACCAGTGTACAGTACTCTATGTGCTATGCGTACATGCTAATTAACCTGTCTAACACAATGCTTTCCTTTGTGAAACATGTACAAACATGTCAAATGTATGCACCAAAATATAGTAACGAGGCAGTGTATGGTCCGTAGCAAATTGAACGCGCAAACGCGTTGTAGCTGCCTTTCAAGGAAATCAATACGCATACTGATCGCAGCAGCTTCGCGTCAAAGGCAGCAGCTACCGCGTCCCGTTCGCAGTGTACGGACAGTACACCTTTCGCGGGGCATTAGTCCGAGAAACACTTTACACCCTGCTTTAAATGGAAAGGCAAGGTGTAATAATTTGAAGTGCGCTAACGAAATGGTTGCTTGGGATGTTGCATGCGCTGCCAGTGTTGCACTGGCCCGCTTACAACCCATTTCCAGCCAGTCATTACTTTTTTGATGAAGTTCATGTTGAAAACATGAGAACTGGACAAAGTCTGTTTTTACGAATGGCAAACGCTGTGTGGAGCATGCAACGTTCAAGTCTGACTGATGAATTGAAGTACACTACAGTGGTAGTGCACAGTTGGAACAGTGCTTTCTGTTAGAAATATATAATAGAAAGTAGACTATTTGGATGTTCTGTGTGGAAAGTGACTCATTTCGGGATGAAAAACGTATCTCGATGAATTGCAAGGAATTAAAGACGTACTTTTGAGTTTCGTCCCTTTTTGCTGCCCTGCTATCAGCCGATACTTTTGTCTGTGTTGGTTTCATTTGACTCATATATGTTTTCCCTTAGTTAAATAGCAGAAATTGTCCGTGTACTTTGAATGTCCACATTCAGTCCTCATTTGAAGCACACCTTACCATCAAAGATGGTTGATATGTTTGTTCGTGTAATTTAATGGAATTTCAGGGGTTTCGTTGATCTCATCGATCATTTCATTGTTGGCACATCAGGATCATCGTTTCCATCCTATTTGTCTTTGGCTGCTGCTGGTGCTGTAACTATGGGATTGGGATACTATTTCACGAAAAATACTAGCAATGGAAAGATCACCCCATTGGTGGATCCGTTGAATCAAACGATCAAGCAAAAGGTTGGTTTACATCAATAATCTTAATTTCTTAAAAATTATTTCTGCACTTTATACTGTTTCTGGTGATCTTATTCTATTCTAGATCACAATAATTTTCAAATATGATAAGTATAACGCGAAACACAATGATTTTTATTATGCATTCTGCAACAAGTTGTAGAAGAAGTTTTAAAGTTACACGAAACGCTGTTTCTAATATGGCACTGTTGAACAATTTGAAAGTTCCATGGATCAGCAATAGGCTATGTGCTTCATTGAAAAAATCTTGAAATTCGATTTTTTAACAACAGAGCTTGTATCTGAC